AAATAACATGGCAGAATAGACTTTTTCCATGAAGTATAATTAAGGGTAGCTTTACAGTAAAAGTAGAAGCAAACTACTGCAATAACTGACTACTTTTCTAGCTGGACTACCTGATTTCAAGTTTTGGAGTTTTTCACAGTTATTCACCCATCAGGGTGATATGTTCACTGAACTCAGAATCTTTACATTTGATGCTCTGGAAAGGAATTTTTTTTTTCTTTTTTTTAGTGCTGTATTTGCAGGGTCAGGATTTTTTATAATGTCATTTGTTCAGTTAATTCAAGTACCTGCTCTGTGCTAGGCACTGTTCTAGGTGTGGATATTATATTGGTAAAACAGATAGGGCTCTTGCCCTCTGGCAGCTAATAGGTAAGTGGGAAAGAGAAACATTGAAATGGCTTTAGCTTGCAGGTAGAAAAGTAGATTGGCTGGATTGAGAATGGATGACCAGTTAGGTGGCTCTTCTGGTAGTTACAGTGAGAGATGATGATGGCCTGGCTTAGAGTTGCACCAGTGGAGGTGAAGAAGAGATAATTAGGCAGAATAACAAGTTCTGGCAATTCTTTGTTGTTTTTGAGATGAGGTTTGCTCTGTCGCCCATGCTGGAGTACAGCGACACAATCACAGCTCACTGTAGCCTTGAACTCCTGGGCTTGAGTGATCCTCCTGCCTTAGGCTCCTGAGTTATACTACCTGGCTAATTTTTTTTAGAGATGGGGTCTTGCTCTTTTGCCCAGGCTTGTCTCAAATTCGTGGCCTTAAGCCATCCTTCCGTCTCAGCCTCCCAAATCACTAGGGTTACAGGTATAAGCCACCATGCCTGGCCTGGTTCTTTTGCGGTTTTTTTAAATGGATTGGAAAGGTGTTATTGATGATTCTAAGACTGGTATAATTGGGTCAGTGTTTGTTCCACAGATTGGGCGAATCATAGGAGGGAGAGCTGAGTTTGTTTTTAAGGAGAGAATTTTCTTTGATTTACAAACTTGAAATTGACTAAAAATAGCTTTCTTGACCCTAAACCTCTCATATTTGGCTGATACTTGATTCATCAGTCACAAGGAATTTTAGTACTAGATTTCGAGTAGGTGAAAGAAAGGGCTCTCAAAGATACTTATACTCCATCCCACCTATGAGAATATGATGCATATATTATGTATAAGAAATCAAGAGTTAGTAGCTTTTATACTGTTTTGATATGTGGGATAATCATGTAATGTTGGTGGTGTTCCCTTAGACTTTTTCTTGGGCATCTGTGACCAGTAAGAACCTTCCACCCAGTGGAGCTGTTCCGGTTACTGGGATACCACCTCATGTTGTTAAAGTACCAGCTTCACAGGTAAGGTTCTAATAAAACATGTACATTAGGCAAATTTACTTGTGCATTTTGGTAATGTGATTCAGCAGAGGCTTAGAGAATGTAGAAACAGATATTTAGGGCAGAGGAGAAAGGTATGGTTTTAAATGATTTTTTTTTTTTGATAAGGAAATTATCATTTTCTAATTTAAACTTTATTAGCTAATAAACTTCATAAGAAAGTAAGCCTGCCTTGTTTTTACATAAGAGTTAACTTATAAATCTTTCAGCCTCGTCCGGAGTCTAAGCCTGAATCTCAGATTCCACCACAGAGACCTCAGAGGGATCAAAGAGTTCGAGAACAACGAATAAATATTCCTCCCCAGAGAGGCCCCAGGCCAAGTAAGAGCTCAGAAGGGTGATTTCTCTAGTTTGGGGGATTCTGAGATGAGAGCTTATTTGGGGGAGGTGGTTTATATTTGTGTATTTATGTTTAAAAAACAACTATTGATAGAATTACCTCTGTGTAAGGTAGAGGGAAAACCACTGAATGGGAGCAGTCACTGAGAGTTGTCATCTTTATCTTGTATTTCACTGCTGTTTTTGTCTCCTGTTAAGTTCGTGAGGCTGGTGAGCAAGGTGATGTTGAACCCCGAAGAATTGTGAGACACCCTGACAGTCACCAACTCTTCATTGGCAACCTGCCTCATGAGGTGGACAAATCAGAGCTTAAAGATTTCTTTCAAAGTAGGTGATTGAGTTTCGAACACTAAATTCATCTATTGCACGTCTGTAATCTTTAATTTTCTAGTAGTTATGAAAGAGTAAGAAGAAATTGGAGAATTTAATAACATTTTGTTTAACCCAGTGTATCTGAAGCATTACGATTTCAACATGTAAGACTATTATAAGAGATTTTACATTTTTTTTTTACTAAGTCTTTGAAATCCAGCAAGTATTTTACACTTTTGGCACATCTTAATTCAGACTAGCTACATTTCAAGGGCTCAGTAGTCACTTATAAAGTGTATTTATTTAATGGTGTACATTTAATGTTTCAAGGAAACGTTCTAAGTAGTTAGCTGAGAATCTGTTTTACTTGCAGGTTATGGGAATGTGGTGGAGCTGCGCATTAACAGTGGTGGGAAATTACCCAATTTTGGTTTTGTTGTGTTCGATGATTCTGAGCCTGTTCAGAAGGTCCTTAGCAACAGGGTAAGCAGTTTTTCGTTTTTTTTTTTTTTAATAGGTATATCTTGGTTCTTTAGAATGTATTCATCCTTAAATTCGTGTCTCCATCATGTAACATGACATTTATTCTCACATATTTAGGTAATTTATTCCATCATATTCAGCCATTATTAAAGACTTAAAAACTTGCCTGGGGGTTTAGAATAACAAACTTACTTTTTGAATAAGTGAATGATGAAAATGTAATAACTAGTAGTTATCAGTGCACTGAAGTTTATGTAAATTTCTTTCCTTGGTGGTGGCTTCTGGTGTAAAGGAGATGAAATACAATGTTACTTTTACCTAAGATGAGAGCCAGTTTGCCTGGGGTAGTCTTGGTATATAGCTGTTGTCTGAGTATAACTATTAAGACCCTCTCCTTTAATTCTGTAGATTGTCTGGGTTTGGAAGATAAATTATGTAGTTACCCTACTTGGAACCATATTTGTTTATAATATTCTTACTGTATACGTTATAACATAGATTTGAAGAATGGAAATCTTACTGTGAAGCTCTAAAGAGCCCTTTGCTTCCCCTATACCTTTCATTAGCCAAAAACTATGTTGTGTAGTAGTAGAGAAGAGCAAGGGTATAAATAATAACAGTTTACTGAGATGGGTATGGGATCTTTAGAAGCTATACTTTTTTTTGAGGTAAAATTCACATAACATAAAATTAGCCATTTTAAATTGTACAGTTTAATGACAGGTAGACCACATTGTTGGGCAGCCATCACCTCTGTCTAATTCCAGAACATTTTCATTAAAAGTAAGCCCTTCACCCATTAAGCAGTCACTTCTCATACCCTCTCTCCCCAGCCTCTGGCAACCACTTTCTGTCCCTGTAAATTAAAACTACACATTTTGAACCATATAATAGGAATGTTATAAATCAACGATGTTCTCCAGAGTGTTAATGGGTATATTGCGAAGTATAATGTTGTCATATTATGTGAGCCTTATAATCTGCAAATATGTGTTATCTTTAAAATTGTTTGAACACTTTTTTTTTTTTTCTTTTTTTGTGAAGCATCCCCTATGAAACTCAGAAATGAGAACGGTGGTTATCCCATTAAGACCACCGAATTCTGAACCCAGAAATGTCCAGTATGCTTTGTAGATAAATCCATCATTCAGTATGTATTAGGTCTAGTGGCCACTGTTCCTTTCACTGTATTGATGGAAGCTATACTCTTTTCAGTAAATTTTTGTGAGAACAGAAATAGCTTATATAGACTGATTACCATGTCGTAATGTGGCATAGTGGGTCAGAGCTTCTATTCGTAGCAGTCAGATGGCCTTGATTTGTATTCCTCTTCCATTACTCAGTATGGTGACTTGTGGAGCAAGTTCTTTAACCCCCCTGGCCCTTAGTTTGCTAATCTCTAAAGTAGTTGTCATAACAACCCTCGGGGTTGTTGCAGAGATTAAATGCACTAATAAATTTGATCAGAACACTTCCCTAGCACATGGTAAGTACTGTTAGATATTAATTTTTTTTAAAATTTAGAAAATTATATTGCCAGTGAAGAACACAAATCGAATTTATTGGAATGTTTGGTAACCCTTTGTTAACTGCTTTGGCTCTATTAGGAGAAAAAGAAGGGCAAGACTTAATGTGTATGTATCTCCCCCCCTTAATTAAGATTCATTTTTTTCCATTATCTTCAATATTTTACAAAATTCTTATAAGATGAATAGCATTTTGTTATATTTCGGTCAGATTAATGATTTTATTTAAGATGTGTTTGTACTTTGCATAAATATGTATGGTACCATCTTTCCACATTACGTGATGATGAGGTTTTTTTATAAGCTTCTAAATCCATGGAAAAGGTGGCAATTCTTACTTATGTTACTCTGTTTACATAATTTTATGAGAAAATTAGATTTCCTTTAATAAGTACAATGAGAGTTACTTGTACTGCTATGCTGTTTAAATTGGCCTTTTTTTTT